CAACTGCTCTATGGGACAAATAGCTCTCCACACCATTTGGCTAACAGAGCAAAGAACCCCAAAGAAAGCCTATGCAGCAAGGCTGAAGAGAATCAGGCAGGGGAGAACTTCAACCTGATGTGGAAGAAAACCTCATTGTTCAGCCAGCTGTCCAACATACATACCATTTGACTGGAGCTCATCAGAAAGTTCCATATAAAGCAAGCTTTTGTTAAAGAAAAATCTACTGGGTTGATTTAAGAACATCTTGGTTTAAACCACGAAGTTCAGAGTGTGTTTCTGGAGCCCCAGGCAGAGTCCCCAAAGCACTGGAAACCTGCTCAGGTGACCCTGGGGATGCTGCAGCTCTCAGTTGCTCCTGAAAGTGATGCTCACTGACCTGTCAGGACCTGGGAGCTCTCAGCTCATCGGGCATTTTAAGAAGGTATTTTTTTACCAACCTTGGAACATACTTTTAAAGTACATTTGGTGCAGGATCCCCAAAACTGTGATAAACAGAAAGTTTGCACGGTATCCTGTAACTTCTGATAATGCTTATGGATAGCCTGGAGTAAGGGCTCCCCGCAGGAGACAATTTTAGATGATGTAGGAATAGAAGAGGAGAGCACTCACCACCTCTGAACAAGAGGAGCACAATCAGAATATAACAATCTGAAAAGGGCTGCAATGCACATGGAACAGAAAATACAGAAACCTTACTTTCCAGAGTAAGAAAGAGATTGCCACTGCAACCATTTGCTGTAAAATTATGATCTGGGATTCATAGTGAAGGAGGAAGAAGAGTTAAACTGGTTTCTTTCTATGAGAAAATAAGTTTAGGCATTTGCATGCATAACATTTTTATGGCTGCTAACACATGGGAAATCCACTTGAATGTAGAGACACATTGGAAAACCTGCAGTCATCACTCAAGCATTTGTCTATATGCAGCTGAAACTTCTTCATACTGGTAACAACATACATTTTTATCCATCACACGCTACCAAAGGAGAAGACAAACAGGAAAAACATGCTATTACCCTTTAGTTCCCATTATTTTTGTCATGTACCCTGACATGGACACCTTTCTATTTTATTGTCTTTATTCCTCTACATTCTAAAGTAGAAAATACACGTCGGCAAGCATCACTGGTTGCTCACTGGCACTTTTACAAGTAGTAGAAACACACATAACATTTTAATTAATCACATTCTTAAGAAATTAAAGCTAGGAGCACATTCTACTCTATTTTTCTACCCTATTTCCCAGAAACATCCAGCATTTCCTAAAATATCTTCCAATATTACAGCAGTTAATTTTTTGCAGCCTTCTGGCCCTTACTGATCAAATAACGAAGTTGTGCTTTCCATTCTAAAATACGTTCCCACGCAATTAGTCCTTTCTTATATAAATCTATGTCTTATATACATATATGCAATGAAGCTAGTTAGATATATATCATTAGTATTATATACAGATATTCTTATACAACTATAATAAGATTGGGAGAAAGTAAATAACCTGTCTCATGGCTCTGTTAAACAGGTAAGAATAAGCATGGCCTGGAGATATCCAGGATTTGTAAAATTCCCAATGAGCACTGAAATTTCCTCAAATACTCCAGGAAATAAGCAGTCCAAGACAGTAATCCACACTACTTCAACAGGAAAAGAAATAATTTCACAGTAAAATTTCCTTCAGATATATTTCCTACTCATTCTGGTCAAACCACAATATCAAGGAGTCAGAAGAGAAATACATAAAAGCATTGTTATACTTTTATCAGCATTTCTACCAGGAGCAGCTCTGTGCCATGCCAGTATTGTCATTCATGCAAAGACAGAGCTGCTATTCAGTTACATTCTTGGGTATTCTACATTTAACCTTTCTTTTTGACAGGGAGCCTCTGATCCGGCCAAATGCTGTTCCAATAAGCAGCAAGCTCCAAATCCAACAACCAGGTGCTTTTTCCAGCTGCTGTTTGACTGCTGTAAACACAAGCAGCTTACAGCTGGTGCCGTGTTGATTGTCCTTCGGGCATCTCTTCCCAGTGATCCTAGAGTCTCTAGTAGACTCTGAGGAGCACTATAGCTGCTCTCACTCCTGCTGCAATACACTTTGGCCACTCTGCTGTATCGAGGCCTCTGTTCAAAGACTACTACTAATATTTCATTTTCCTATTCTTGTATTTCTGCATGAGAGCTCTACGAAAAACGTGTGACCACATGAACCTTCCCCATGCCACAGAATCCCTTCTACTGTCTATTTTTACAAACATTGATGCATTGAAGCATGTTAGTTCTCTGTATTGTGCAACAGTATCAATGCATTTTAGCTTTCTCCAAGTATACGAACACAAAGGGTTAGATTATTACAGTCTAACCAGAACACATGAATAAAGCACAAGAGATTTTTGAGTCATTTCTCAACATATTTTGCAGCATCTAATTTTAGAAAAGGAAAAAAAGACAACCCTTCTCCTAGCATGTGAATATTGGTCTTCAAGTCTATTCCATCTATTTTTTATACTTTTATGAAAACCTCTTCAGATTTAGTTTATGTGATTTCTAAAAATGGGGCAATTGTAACTTTCTGCAATAGAAACAATAATAAAATGATTCTGCAGAGAGATGAATTATTTACTCTGCATAAAGTTCCTCCGCAGAGGCTGAGAATATTGTGTTCCTGGTTCACCAGAGGAAATGACAATAAAACAGCTGAAATAATCTGAACTCAGTTATGAGAACAGTTTGCTGAAGCCCCTGTGAAGAACATGAAGTTTAAATAAATCAGAAGCAAGGAAGCCTCTTTTTTAAAATATGGTTTCTGAAATAACAATAGCTTTTATCCAAATTCCAGGCTAGGGACATAAGTAGGAATAAAATAAAGTTGTCTGAAGTTGGCCTCTGGCTGTGGCAGCGTCGGCTCAGGACTGCTGAGAACCCTCAATACTCATTTATGTCAACAGGCATTAGCAGTTCTTAAAGCAGGATTATGTGCTTTCACTTCTGGCCTCTTTACCATTCAAACATCAAATGCAGGGTGTTATAGACTGGATGTTTGATACACCTTCAGAAATAACACGCTCATCTATGTGAAGAAACAGGAGAGCTCTGATATTCAACACTACAGCGCTTGGGTCTTGAAGAAAAAATCCCTCTGATGTAGAAATTCTGGGCTGTGCACTGTTGTGCCTGCCCCAGTTCCGACAGTTCTGATCTGAAACAGTAGGTGAACAATCTCAGCAACAGAAGGAACAACTGAAAATGCTCCCTTGGGAGAAAAGAAAGTGGAAGTATGATGGGGTGGGGGTTCCCATCCTTAACTGCAGTTGTCTCCCAGATTCTGATGTTGTAAATGCTGGTGTGGACTGCTACTTTTAAACTATGCATCTCAGGCATCACAGAGACCCTGCCTAGATCACCACTAGCACGTTTCTTGGCATAATGGAGATCAAAGTGCTTTATAACATCTGCTTATGCTCTCTGTGCTCCAGTGATTTAAAGATGGCAGTCTCAAACACTCTCTATAACGCATTGTTTGACACTACTTTAGAGTCTATGTAGGTAAGAAAAACCCTTAAAAAAATTCCCCAAAATCTTGGCTGGAGAGTCTCTAACAGCAAAAAAAAAACAAAAACAAACCAATCAACCCTTGGCTGAAGATCCAAGGGAAGCAATGGATTTTAAACATGCAGGGGGAAACGAATCTCTTTTTATTATGGAAAATACAACTCCAGAGTTGACTAAAGAGTGTGAAATCAAATGCCACTCAAGCAAAAGAGAATGCAGTGGAATGACTTCATTCCTTCCCGGTTCATAAAGAAAATGTAAATATAGAGCATTTAATTCCTCAATAGAGAAATGTTCTTTTCATTCACATGTTAAGCAGGGATTAAAGATACAACAGGTTATAACTTAATCCTTACTATGTTTGCTTTTCTTGAAGCATCACGGGATATTTTGGCATGAGTGGTTTTTTTCTTGGTTACCACCTCAAAATCAGGTTCCCTTAATTCTACGCAGTTTTTTGTTATTTAAAATAAATTCATTTTATTACTGTTTTCTTAATGCTACTTGAAGTACAGTTGAACAATACTCAGAACTAGCAAAAATCTCAGCTTTGAATTACTGAATGACATGTTCCCACAAAAGATCTGAGGGTGCCAGAGGCCACATAATCCAAGTCGCAATATTAGGCATCTTAGTCATATGAGTCTTTACATGACTGACTTCTCTTTCTCTGAGAAAAGACTCCCAGAAGCAAAGTTATACCCTAAGCAGCATCAAATATAATGCGAGATTCTTCTGGAAATAACTGTGCATCCAAGCAAGATTTAACGCCTGCATTGAGCATGTACTGCTCTTCTAGCTGATCCTGACAAATGGCACTGCAAACCACTTGTGTGCCTCCAACCCAAGCACACAAACGGAGTAGGAAATAGTTCCAGTGAGTTTGCTGTTCTGCAGAATATCAAACAAACCTCCTGCTAACTGCAAACACCAAGCTGTCAAAGCAAATGTTTTTTTTTTTTCCCCTGTTAAAATGGTCATGCAAAACACACTTGGCAATATTTCATGAGCACATTCAGGCCAGACAAAAGATGGGAACAGGAATTTAAGCAGGACACCTTAATTAACTTGTCACAGAAAGAGCAAAAGGGCTGCTGTGAGACACAGTGGGTGCAGCCCGAGTCTCAGGCTCCCAGCAGCATGAGTCAACATGCTACCATGGCACCGCGTTTACACAAGTCACTTTCCAGGTTTGGTTTGGGTTTTGTTTTCCCTTTGTCTGTGACAGGTGTGCACACACCAGATTGTCAGGCAACTTCATCCAGGCTCCATCCAAGGAGATGGCGGCATTCGTGTGCCTCCCCCCATCCCACTGGGATGCAGGTTATGCACTCGCCTGCCCTGGCCTAATGCTTGGGGCAGGGGACACGGCTTTGCAAGCCAAACTGCTTTTGGCCCCAAGGTCGAACAGTGGCTCCTTCAGGTTTCTGTCAGACTGACACGGGGTAAGCAAGCATGCGTGCCCACCTCTATGTAAATGTTTTTCTTATACAGCCTCTTCAACAATCCTTTAAACTGGCTCCTAGAACAACTCTTCCCATCAGGGAATTGTCCAACTCTGAAAACTACAATTTATACTCTTACCTTGTTGTTTCAATGGGAAATGTAGGTTAGAGAAAGGCTTTAGATTAAAGACAGCAACCCAGAGTAAATGAACACAAACCCAAGTATTTTTTCCCTCAGACAAACCTCCATCAGCTGACTGGAAGGGCATCCTACAGGTTCATGCCCAAACAGCACTTCTGTTAGGAACAGCACCTTTGCAAAACACCATCAGACAGGTAAGTAAGAGAAGTTCAAATTCTATAATGGCATTCATTCAACAAATGCCAGGATCTTTTTCTCTGAAAAGAGACTCTTAGAAGCACGACAAGGGATTGCTTCAGAGGGGTGCATTTATCAGGTGGTTGAAGAGACTGCCAGGACCCCTCACACTGACCACTGTGGTTCCCCTCTGCCTCCCGTGTCCCCACACCAGCTCTGAGGAGATGCAGCAGCACAGTTGGTCATGGCTGACCTCAGGTTGACTGCACCTGCACAGGTCTGCTCTGTGTAGGACACAGCAACTTTCTAGCAGCTTTAACAGTTACTGTTAAAGACTCTTGATCATCACTTGCTTCCTTAAGCAGCCATGTCCAACTAGGTTAAAATGCAACATTCCAACCTCAGCATCACCTACTCCCAAACCTGACACATTTGTGAACAACTTCCAGATTCAATGTTTTCTCAAAGTCAAGGCTCACAGCTACTGCTTTTTGGCTTAAAAGTCCTGTTAGTGTACCAAAAACATTCTCAGGCAAAAATACCTTCTGTGGCTACCATTTTCTAGTACTTCAGTTATTGTGGAGACCAAAATGGAGCAATACTCCTGTAATATCCCGGTAAAGGATTGGAGCTGGTTAGTAGAAGCTAGGTGGCTTCATAATTCAACTGCATTCCTTGCAGATGCTTTTTTCTGAAAATAAATCTTGAACCACACCAACAGTGAAAATGTTCAACAGCAAATCGCTGTCATGGTTGCATCGTTATGACCACACAACTTTGTGATCAGAAGTCAAGTGGTTCTCAAGAGTTAAATAACTCCATTATCCCACTCTATAAAGAGAAAGACAGGAGATGTCAAAAGGACACTGAAGTAGTTAATCTGAGTAAAGCCTCAGCAAGGAACAGGAAAACCCATAAATCCCAAATTTGTAAATGTCTGTGCAAAGGAAACAACAAACAGTTCTCTGAAAGCATTTCTGTCGGACACGGGAGCTAAAACAAAGCTCCATCTGTTTCATAACGTGTCTCCCCTAGGGGCCAGGAGCATTGCCTCAGGTATTTACCTGCAAGTAAAAAAATATGGAACACACTTGTCTCTATGCTAAAGGTTAGATCTGAACTACAGTGATTAATAGCCCCTGACAACGAGAACTGAACCATCAAGCTAGCATTCAGAAGGTAATAAATAGACCTAAAGACCTAGATATTGTTGAACAGCATATGACCTATTACATCACCTATCGAAGACACGCAACTAAATACCCAAAGAGAAAAGGAAGGTCAACTTGGACACATTTCAGGTGTGGAAAAAAACAAATTAACCTTTTGTTGCAAGCACGGTCGTAATACGCTGCTCTAAGGACAAGATTAAAAACCAACTTTACTAGCCATGGTTTCTGAAATACTGGAACTTATACACAAAGTTGGCAATAAAACAGGTAAGGGACAATGCCCAATACTTTGAATAAGACAACCCTATTTTCAGTTGCTTTTTGGGGTTGTCTTTTTTTTGCAAAACAAGCTAAAAACTTCAGTAAAAGTGATTCTACAGTTCTCCAAGAGATTAAGAGAAGTAGTTTGCCCATACAATGCACATTCTTCTACAAGTCTCTTGATATGAACCAGTGGGACTCCTACAGCTAAAATACCTGTGCACCTCCAGCAGTAACATGAAGTTCCATGTGAAGGAAGAGCACAGGCTCCATCAGTCATATTAACAATGTACATTGATGTCCCGTCCACCTCACCCCATCCAAATTTATCCTCACGTTGGAATCCAGAGCATAAAACTTTAGCAAAACCCTGCCTCAGCACCATCTTTTCCCTTTGCTTTTAAACTTAGCAAGTACATGAAATAGCTGAGCCTCAAGAAGATCTCAGCATACATATGTTCACACATCTGTTTGGAGTTTGTCTGAGGAATGCTCTGAAGGCTGTTTGCACTGGGCAGTCTCTGGGTAGAGAAAATCATTTCTGCTGTGACTAGTGTTCAGCTACGAGGACCTGGCCCTTCTGCTCTCCTTACCAGGGCCCGTGAAAGCTGTGGCAGCATCGGCTGGACAGCAACACTTGCAAACAAGGGACACACTTGAGTTGCTCTTGCTTCAGGGATCACCACTATGACAGATGGCCTCTCACTGTACCCTTCAACCATGCTGAATTCAAGACATGAAAAGAATGCCTCTATCAAGACAGCTTCTGCATCTTTGGCAGAAATCTTCAAACCTGCCTTCTTGAGTATGTGACAGTTTCTTAACTAGGCCACTCATTTTAATATGTTTTCACATAACTAACACTAACCAGAAATTATGTAAAGCTCAGCTCTTCTGAACGCATGTAACATCAAAAAATGTGTCAGGTATCACAACAACAATCTGTTAGGAACAGCAGAATCTATATATAGCTTAATATCTCCTGCGCTCAGATGCATATTAGCAGCCTGTTATAGCCATAACTACCACAGGATTTATCATACTGTCATCAGAAAGTTAGCCCACTCTATACCTATTTGGAATTTTAGCTGTTATCTGGTATGATGCTCAAGGAACACCGGATTTTATACACAACGTACACTCCATCACATTCAACAATTAATGCAAGCTACTATAGTGTTCCATGTTTCAAAGTTTAAAGCTTAAAAAGCAAAACACTACACTTTGAGGAAAGAATACTGACTTGGGCTATTTTCACAGGACATCACTGAATTAATCTTGGAGGTGATTTATGGAGACACGCGTTGCACACAGCTCCTATCAAAACCAAGCACAACATGAGCCCAGTCTGGCCCACGGTGTTTATATTCATTTCCAGTTTGCATCACAAAAATAGATGATCTGTAATCATGGCCTGTCAGCTTGGTTTAACAAAATGAACATTTCTTTCAGGCTGTGTATACCTCCACCAGCTCTGTATATTGGCTTAATAAAACAGTAGTTAATCTGAGTAAGAATGTTAGCTTTCTGTCTCAAAATAATACACTCAAGTTTCAGGAACGCTTCATTTTAGAAGCCACATGGATGATGAATGACAAATATTTACAGGTTTCAGAATTAACTAAACTGCTCTTTGATCCTCCTCACACAGCTACAGTCTGTGGTTTTGTAGGTTCACACATTCTCTCCACGCAAAACCTCCTTCCCCTCAACACTGTCACTGAGACAGAAGATGAATGTTTAGTGCAGAGCATGACTGTGATTAAGCTCCCAGTGCATTCTTCATCTGTAGTCCACCTGGTAGCGCTTCTCCCCTGCCTCCTCTCTCTCCTATGGGAAAAGTCTGTAGTTGATGTATAGAGCTTTGCAGAAAGGTGTCAGATTAAAAATCTCAAAGACCCTCCAAAACTTAAGATCTCCACATGCTATCCCTTATTAAGGGATAAAAGGTGAAACGTTTTAGGGCTCTGCCCAATCTCTTTTACTTGCTTGCATGTTTTGATATTTAATTCATAGTTGACAGAACTGCCTGAATTTTATGAAAGTTTATCAAGATGAAAACAAATGCATGTGTTTTTACAGCCTATCACTAACATTCTCTGAAACATCCCCTCATGCAAAAAGCAGCAACACCACAAAGCACAAGGAAGCTGTTTCTTGTCATGCCAGTATTTACCCTACCACACCAGGAACAGAACAACTTGTACAATCAACTGGCAGCACCCACCTCTCCCACGCACCCATCATAGGGTGGCAGTAAGGAGTACTGAAGGCAGGGTGGACCTATTTAATTATGTCAAGAAGCATAGAAGAAACAAGCCCCAGTTAAAGTTCTCAACCAGAAGTTAGCTCATCCTGTCCCTCAGAACTAAAAGTTTTTTGCAGTCTCACGTAAGTGGATTATACATCACGTTAGAACATCAGTTTTCCAAAGATGTATACTAAAACCTGTGCTACCCAAGTAGCACATTGCACAGCCAAGGTATCAGTCACCTACACAGCAGTCTACACTGAGGACAACGGGCACCCCAGTGCAAAGTGTCTCTGGTATCTCTGTATGTCCAGGAAAAACTGACTCTCCTTCTCAAAAAATCTCCCAAACATCTGCACATTCTCAGCTTTGAGCGAATGATTTCCTTCCAGCAGTTGTGTGTCTCACATGCTTCTCTCTTCTCTTGCTAGTCGTGTATCCTTGCAATTTCCAGTCATGGGACGGGTGACATGGGAAGGGACCCCTGCAGATGCAGTCCAACACCCCGCTCCAGCAAGGGCGGTTGCAGCATGTTGCTCCAAACTGTGTACAGTCAGGGTTTAAATATTGCCAAGGTGATCTCCATCAGCCCTCTGGTCAGCCTGTTCCAGTGTTCTACAGCCCTGGCAGGAAAAAAACCTGTCTTCCTTTTATATTTAGATAGATTTTCTTGTTTTTCAATTGCACATTGTCTCCTGTCCTGACACTGGGCACCACTGAGAAGCCCCTGGCTCTGCCTTTTTTAGTCCCCTTCATCAGGTATGTATATACACTGATAAGATCCTCTGAGCCTTCTCTGCTCCAGACTGGACAATCCCAGCTTTCTCAGCTTCTCTCCATGTGTTAGATGCTCCTTAATCAACATCATGGCCCTTTGCTGGACTCATTCTGGGAAGTTCATGTTGCACTGCTCAACTGAAGATAAGGCTCACCTCCCCCAACCCGCTACCAATTCCCTACCCAAAGCAGCCCAGGATGCTGCTGGATGCCTTTACTGCAAGAGCATGTTGCTGACTTAGGGTTATGTTGTCCCCCGGGGACCCTCAAGTCCTTGTCCGCAAAGCTCATCTCCAGCTGGCCAGCTCCAGCAGGTACTGCTGCAGGGCATTATTATTCCCCAGGTGCAGGATGTAGCTGAGCTCCATGAACACGCTGGCCTATTTCTATAAACTGGTGAGGTCCCTCTCAACAGCAGCGAAACTATCTGGTATATCAAACACTTCGTTCTAAATCGTGAAGTTTCCAGCTTCTGAATTTGGAGGCTAAAGCAAAGTTAGATGCATAAACTACAGAGACATTTTGTTAAAGAAAAGTAAATCTGTAACATGCAGCTCAACATATTTGCCTTCCACAACACCAGAATGTCTTTCACAGAAATGGAAGACTTCCTTAAACTTGAACTCACTCATGTAACAACTCAACTTCAGTGTAATCACTAGAATAAGATGATACTGACAAGTCTTCCTTCAGGCCCAGCTTCCATCTGGGGTTTCTGGTTTACATTTTCCAGTTGTCTGCAGAAGGAATATCTGTTATAGACACAGAAGAACTACATCTAGCAACACTCACTTATTCAACTAACAGACTTCTGCTTTGCAGGGAAAGAGGATAGTGGTAATCTAGATAACATTTATTTTACAACTGGCTACAGTTTATTCTATGCGGAGCATAAGGACTATCAGACACAGATTCCTGTTCCCCTATTAACCTCTATGAACCACCTACTCCTTTAAAAAAAAAGCAATTTTCCCTCCCCCTTGGTCTTTGTCTACCACCAGTATCTGCTAAAGCTGTCAAATATTCCCTTTTCCAGTGCTTTCTAACTTCACAAACTCCTGCTGTCTCTGAGCTCCAACCATTCCCCCTTACAATTGCAGCTATGCATTGCTGTACATGTGCAGAACTTTTAAGCTATCAGTCTATGCATTGATGTGTTGCAAAAAAGTTTTCACATTTGCATCTAAAGGCTCCACAAATCACAAGCTGGAAGTTCTCCTCCTTGTCCAAGCATATAACCAAAGATGCAGTACAGCAACATCACAGCCAAACCTACATTGAGTAACGGAGAGTGGAGCAGCCCAAATCCCACTGCACAGCAGAGAATGCCCCATTTAATAAGCCACAGGGAAAACTCCCATTTAGGCAATCCATAACAGACAGCAGGATCACCAAATCACAAGCGTTTCCAGCAGTACTGTATAACATGCAGCAGGAGGAAACTACTGTGCTAGAATGCAGTCGACTTCAAAAATACTATTGCCTACAAAATTCCTTCTTTTCACACTGCCTTGTGTGGTTGCATAAAATCCTTCTGTGAAACTGAATCTAACACCCCTTCCATCCGCCCGTTAATTAAGGAAAAAACAGAAAATGTGGAAAGATTGCATTATGGTAAAGCAGAATGTACCAGTTGTGTAAGAGCCTTTGGAGAATTTCCAGCTCTATTGAAACTTCCCTCTTCAGAGGAAGATAAAAAAAAGGGGTCAGAAAAGGCCTAAATTACCTTTCTGATTATGGAAAGGCTTTACACAATTCACATCACACATTAAATAAAAATCCTCAGAAGCTAAGCGAGGTTTCACAGGAGCCTGAAGCACTGTGAATTCCTGAAAAATGAATTTAATCAGCAAAGCTGAGACGAGGCAGAACTGTTCTACATAACAAAAAAGTTCTCAGCCGCATTATTAAAATCATTGCTTTAAAAGATCAATTTATTTCAAAGGGTTGACTCCCTTCATTAGAAGTTATCAAAGACACATGATCTAAAAGGAGTCTTTATCAAGCATGCTGCCTGTCTGTTGTGCCTGCAACTGTGTTAGGACTGCAATGCCTATCACCATTTGATGTATTTGTGGGTCTGTTTGTATCTAAACATAGACACGAGATGGTTGCAAAGCCTGGTAAAGACAGAAAATGACAGGATTGGTAATACGCACAAACGATTTAGTAACTGTAGTAATGTTTGTAGCTCTTTAAACTTTTGATATAAACCATTAGATTCCATTTAGTCCCCATTCTAAGCCAAAACCTGTAACCTGAAGCACACAAAATAACCTGTGCATACCCAACAGATTTAACCAAAACACACATAAACAGAAGGAATGACTTTCATCACCACCCCTCCCCAGCTTTACTGGAATAAAACAAGATTAATGTAGACATTTGGCCTATGGATTCTGCTTAAGTGTAATCTAGATGACCAAGAAATGCAACTGGATTTTCTAAGACCAAACTGCCTCACAGTATCTAGCATGTTTTCTGAGTCTGCTTACAAAAAAATCATCACTTAACAGGATTTACATCTCTCCAGTTTTCTCTCCTCTTTTAAAAACACAGCTAGCTACTAAGGCACTCAACAAAGAACTGCCCAGCTCCTTTAATATCTCACCATCTGTATTTGACTCCACTTGAAAGATGTAATTCTGAGTCTACTGTTTGTGAAATATTGAGATATAAATCTTTATGATGAGATTTTCAACGTATAAATAACAGAAGACCCCGCTTCCTTGCTGCTTTGCTAACTGCACTATCGTTTCCCAGTAACTATGGGAAACCAAATGAAATCTGAATCCATTCATCAAAACAGAAAATACTCCTTCTTTCACTGAGGGAGACTGTGCTTGCAGTATCTAAGTCAGTAAACAGCATGCCCTTTCCCACTACTACAATGTTAGGTCATTCTTTATACCTGCTGATAACAAGCCATAACAAAGTAGAATAGAAAGACAATCAGACACCCAAAATAACAATAATCATAAAGAAGTCTTTTCCTCCTTCTATTTAGAAATCACTGGCATATCTGAATCAGAATAGTGTTTACCATGACATGTCTTGCTATATATGTTGTTTACAGGGAGCAACTATTAAGCTTTACATTTATAATACAATCCAATGTACAATAATCTGATTTTAGAATAGACCAGGTATATACTCAAAATGGCAATTCTAGCTGGATACATTTAGGCTTATTAATTTGGACACGTGTGCACAAACCCATTTACTTTGGTAATTCAATTTCCTAATTATCAGCTGCAAGTGAAATGCTAGTAATGCAACCATAGAATACTATGGGTTGGAAAGGACCTTAAGATCATCTAGCTCCAACCCCCTGCCATGGCCAAGGATACCATGCAGTCTCTGCAGCTCCCCTGTCTCACCACGACAGGAGACTGCAAAGTTTTTACAGAATACAGCATTTAATTTAAATAAGTATGCAGAGATCACAGAATGGCTTGAGTTGGAAAGGACCTTAG